ATATAATACACCAGTACTGACTGTGTTATTAGTTAGTTGCACACCTACATATAATACACCAGTACTGACTGTGTTATTAGTTAGTTGCACACCTACATATAATACACCAGTACTGACTGTGTTATTAGTTAGTTGCACACCTACATATCAAGATACAAAATTTAAGTAAAAGTAATAGTTCTAACTTTATTTCAATTTATTTTTAACTCAAAAATATTTTTAATTGATATTTTTGTGATTTTATAATATTTATTTAGTGTAATTCACAAATAAAAATGAAAGAAATATTCCAACTTTCATTCCTTCACAGCTGTAAGAAGTCTCACCTTTAAATAATATATTTATAAAGTTATTTTAATAATTTAATTTTTCTGTCCATCTCAAACTGTAGGTTTATGTTAACTAAGAAACTATTATTCCTTAAAAATTTAGTGATTAATTTCATGTTTTTTTACATTCCCCTTCCCTCTTTTTAGTGTATTTTTATAACTACAGTCTTTCATCTTGTGGTCTTATAAAATAGCTGGAACTAATGGCTAAAAAGGAAACAGACAGAAGACATTCTAATCTATGGATGTCAGTATAGAGTAAATAAAGTTATCTTTGGTTATCATGAAATTGGCTACTTAGAGCTCATAGGGGTGGACATAAGATTCTAATGCAAAGTTTGGTACATTTAGTAACAAAAGAGTTTTCATTTAATTTTTTTAGATGCTTTTTTCACCCTGAAAATTTCTATGTTAATTTATATATCATTTGAAAGCCAGATACATTTAATGCTATGACAAGACATCAGGTAAGCAGAGTTGAGTTTAGAAATTAATGTAAATGACTCAGATCTTTATATATTGAATATTATTGTAGTTTATTGTATTCAAACAGCAAATACAAATAACTTTATCTAATGAAATAAACTACATTATTTATATATATATATATAAATTTATCTTGTCCGAGAATATTGACAGCAAAAACCACAATACTTAGTCTGACAAAGGTAAAGGTGGTACCATTTTGAAGGGTGAAGTCCTGGATCACTGATAAATCTTTTTATTAATTACAGCTGGAAGTGGTGACTACTTTAATTGGCTAAATGATACATAAAATAATTACTTTGATGAATGTTGATTAAACTGAAACTGGCTGGTTTTATAAAATGGAACTTTCTGATCAACAAGGATAAAATTGAAATTCTAAGATGAAAGGAAGTATTTTTAATGTTTTTGAAAAAATAAAAGATCTTAAACAAAATTTTGGATATTTTGCAACAGAAAATGATTGGAAACTATGTAAAATTGTATAGATATTTCTTAAGTTGAAAACAGATACTATATGGTAAGTTTGTACTAAACTTAATGCAGTTTGATTAAATATTTCCACTGTGGGAATGAGAAACTAGGGGATATCTGTAAAGAGTTAATTAAAATTATCTGTTTTGTGTCATAAAAAAATATTTGTTTATTTTAATGTGTATTTTCTAACTGATTGATAAACAAAGTATATATGTTAACATGTACACGACTAGAACTCAGTTTAGTTATCAGCAAAATGAAAGGATAAAATTACAAATATGTATGTGTAAGATATTAAAGTGTGACACTTGTATGTAACCTGAGAAAGATGTGTTACTCTGCTAGACTACTGTAAGCTCTTAGGATAATTAGGTAAATATTTAAAAGACAAGATGCTGACAGTATTGTTTATATCAGTTGAAGGAGATAGCATCAGCTTTGATAAAATAATTGTTTCTATGATTTCTATCACCACTATTGCTATATTCATCACCTGTGAGTTTCAGACAAAATAACAGAAACAAAACATTACCACACACTCACGGTTCCAGAACTTATATTTGACAGAAATTGTGAATATGCCGGTTGACATGTGATACTTTAGTGATGTTATATATTTTAGGAGTTACGAGTGAGGACTAGAATGACAATTCAAGGATTTCCTGTGAATGACAGTCAAGGAGAGTGGCAGACTACACTACACAGGTTTGAGTTAAAAAGCTAAAATTCATTTTTAATCAAAAAGTAACCTGGATATTAAAAAATAAAATGTATTCATGATATGTTGCTACTGTAAAATCTTAATCCTATGTGCATGGCTTAGTCAGAGTGAACAAGTCATGACATTTTATACAGCTAGATTCAAAATTTAATTAAACAATTTTATTATCAATGTATGCTAATAAAATTGGCATCAAACATAGTTTATAATTCCATTTTTTATACTATCTTAGTTTCAAAAGGAAATATTCACACAAATTTTCATTCTTCACTTTTCTGTGTCATGTGGTGTGTCTGCTCTCTGAACTCTCCTCCTGTGTTATATTTTCCCTAATATAACTTTCAGAGTGTTCAACCAATAAAACCACAAACTATACATAAAGACAAGCTTGAATATAAATTTTGAACCTCTTGATTTGCTGAAATATCAAGAAATATGTCAAAGAACTAGCAAAGCTCCTTACATCTTTCTATAGCTTTTGAGGCAGTTATCTGAACACATGTTCTTACCTGATAGGCATGTTTATAACCAACAGAAAAAGCATTTTATTCTTTACTAAAACATAATCAAAGTTTTCTTTTTTGATGGACATACAAAAGCGGTTGGATTTAGATTATTTGTCTGTGATCATTGTTGTTCAACTCAGAGCAATTAACATAATTTTGTAACTTGTTTATAGCTTTGTTAGAAGGCCATTTATATTATAATAATTTTGGAACATTCTATTCTAGTGCTTGATATATTTTTGTAACATGTTTTTCTCGTGGTTTTTATAACAGATGGATGGACCTCACTGTGATTTGTTGTTTTTAACATAGTGGGCCAAGCAATAAAACCATAAAATTAAAAGAGATGTGAAAAGTGTAATTGTTGAAATTATGAAAATTTAAGACGAAAATAATTATTAATAACAATTAATTTTTGATAGCAGACAGCATATTGTAATAGAAAATTAAACACTATTTATTGTTACTGCCAAAGAAAATAAATTTTATGTATCTTGAAAGATTTACTTTAATTAATTTACAGATGTATTTAGACCCTTTCAAAGTATGCCAAAAGCCATTTATCATTGCAGGACAGCTTTGAATTACAATCACACAATGGGTTGTGCACGTGCTAGGAAACTGAGTACCATGATAAATTTTTTCTTTAACCTTTTCATTTAGCTTTTCTTACTTAACTCTCTTGATACGGGCTCGATCAATTTGACCGGCCATGTGACCTCTTTGTACTCGTTCAAAGTCTTTATAGATTTGATACTACTAACTTTTAATATAGTGTGTATATCTTCACAAAATTTGGCAGACTTTCAGTAAACATTATAAGTCTTTCACATACAAAAGAATCATATTCTTTTGTGAAGTCTTTAATAAACTAAAATAAATACTTATCCATGAATATATCAGTTACTTGTTTTGAATAGTCCATA